ATGAATAGCTATATCAAATTTAAATTAGATGTCTGGATTCGATTCGGCCATCACACACACACACACACATAGAGAGAGAGAGAAAGCATTTACCACCTCGGGGGTAAAAACGAACTGTCAAGGTGAGAAATCGCCAAAACCATAAGACCATAACCATTGTCCGGTTCCCTTTGAACAATCAACTAGGCCGACTCACCCACACACACCCCCACACCCCAAATAAAACATAATAAATGGAGCAATATATTGATTCATTGACTGAGCTCATTAAGGTGTTTCTCACAAACATATTCCTTTCACATGGACACTTGAATTAAATTATCCCAACAGTTTTGTGCACAAATGCTGGCAGATTTGGAGGGGGGGGAGGGACGGGACTTGACTGAATTCCACAAGAATGTACTAGTCAGAAGAATCACTTGCAAACGAGAGCAACTCAGGCTTGAAATCTTGGACTTGTGCTAACAGTACAGTGGAAAGGATAAGCGGGTTGGTGGTGCTGATGTTACTGATGCATTGAAACCACTAATACATCGAATGGGAGGTTAAACTATGTTCGAATCCCGTTGGTTTTGCCAATTTCGTATGTTCCAAGAGCAGACCAGTTACAGGAAGTTGTTCCCATAATGTTAATACTAAGTTTGGGGATTTTGATTACTATTGCCTCCAGAAAGCATTGTACTTTCAGATAGACCAACATAGATATGATGGATTAGAGTAATGGAAATGATATAAGGTTCCGAATAAAACATGCCCCGGAAGTATTCCCTGACACCCCCTCCCCCAGTAATAGATTCTGATTGTATCTCTCAGAAAAAGAAAAACTGAATTTGACTGAAATAAAAATTTTGACATTCCACACATTAATGTGTCACATGGAATTCAAATGAACACTATCAAAAACAATCGTTTCTATGTAGACGTCGAGGGATTGCACACAATCCATTATCAGCAAGAGCGCGTGCGCACGTGTGAGCGAGCGAGGCGNGGGGGGGGGGGGGGGTGAGGGTAAGGGTGACCCAGAGTTTTTGTAGAAAGCACGCCAAACAGCAATTTGTCAACCGTTTGGAGTTTATGAAGTCAGGTGGTAAAAGCAGTTCTGGGTCACTTTAGGGGTTCGCGGAACATCTTTTTTTACCATTTCAACAATGGTGGTCTGAGGACAGTCTAACAAATGCTAAAATTATTTCCAGCTGCTCTCCCATCGAAGCATACACACACACACACACACACACACACAATCTATGATCCATCACACAGCTGCCCACATTTAGGAATGCGCATCTTTGAATAAACCACAGATAGATATTAACTGCTCCAGTCCCCTCTGTTCTCTCGTACAAATTCAGTTATCCATCAACACTCCCATTGACTTCAGTGTTTGATTACATTTTTTGTGTGCAAAGTTCCCCTCATCATGAAGAAAAGCTTGTTCAGACGGGTTTGCCTGGACCTCCGTACGGAAATAAACTGGATAAAGAACAGTATTGAAGCAGCTACGGGAAAATCGATGGGTCTAACTAAAACCAAAAGTCCCAGTTTCAGTTTCAGTTTCAGGATGACAATTTTCAAATCTCTGACTGGAGGATTAATGCAAAAATGACAGACAGTGTGTGTGTGTGTGTGTGTGTATGAGAGAGAGGACTCGGATCTTGTCAGGTTGAACCACCGCGTAGTCCCTTTATTGAATTGATAGGAACAAAACGAGAACGCAAGTTACAAGATGCGAACAATTCCTCGACAGTTATGCAAAACAAGTCATTGATTACATTAGATTACAGTAGGGGTGAGTGAGGGTGGTGTAAGATTGTGTAAGATTAATCTGCATCAGATGTGTGTGGAATTAAGTGAAAAACAGGAAAGAGAACCAAGACGAAGCAAGTAATGAACCGATTGATCAAACTAGGAATGGTGGGCAATCACGATTACCCAAAGACATGGTGAACTGTTTCAATGTCACGTGAGAATCAGCTAATTTTCATTTGACTATCCTTGATGAACCAAAAGAGGGATTATAGATGCTAATATATCTTACTATTTTAGGCAATAAATATTCTGGACATTTAGGCGAACGCGCGTTGTGAGAAAATGTCAATTAGCACCACTAATGAGCTTTAACGAGGGCGAAAATTGAGTCTGTTGCTCTCAGAATGTACGCATAACTGAAACAACTGCCAATTGAACGTGAGGATCAAATCGGAAATCTAACCGGTTAAAGGCAGTAACACTCATCCCACACCAAAACGTATAAGGAAATACGAAGCAAATCCCGTAAATCAGTCACTGGGCGTTGGTGGCCAAGTGGATTCGAACGTCTCCACCGCCGCCGCCCGTCTTCCCAAGCAGCCTTTGTCTGGCCGCAGCATCTCTTCCTGAATGTTGAATGTACATGTGTATATTCAATGAATAGAAAAAGGAAGTAAAACGAGACGCACACAGTCACTCAGTCGGTCAATATTGCTGTCCCGATTCGAGGAACTTTAGTATCGCAGTTGCCCCGGTTTTGTTTGTGTTTCCGCACACGTTCACGCGTGTTAGTGCTCATCGGGAGAGGTGTTGATGATGATGATGATGACGATCACAGTGAGTTCATTTGCTCTCTTATCGCCACATGAAAGTCATAGTTTCTTGATCACAACCCCCCAATTATGCACTCGATAGTAGTTTGCTAGAAGCTCGGGCCTTCCGTAACCAATCACTTATGATATGGTTGATTAATATTCCTAATTCAACTATCGTTTATTCATTTATCATTCAATTACTCAGGAATACACAATCATACATACATACATACATACATACATACATACATACATACATACATACATACATACATACATACATACATACATACATACATACATACATACATACATACATACATACATACATACATACATCTGCACACAACATGTATTCACTGTTGCAGTCACATCATTTCACTGTAATATGGTCATCCTGTTTTCAACTAGCCCTCCCCCTCCCCTCTAAACCTAAAAACGTGCCATGTTTACTCGGTCGGCGCAGGCATTAAAAACCATGGTTTCTTAACTTTTTTTTTCTCCCAAATTATATGCGGTCCCTGCTTTCGACAGAAAGGTTTCCCATTTCTGTTCTCAAAGCGTCCTTCTCTGGGTGTCGCATTCAACAAGAAGTTGGAGACTGTGGTTTAATTGATGTTGTTCAGCCAGTCGCTACTACAACTGTTCCAGAAAAGTCTGGCTAGAACATCAAGACGGAACTTGCTATGTNCTATTTGGGTCAAAAAGTAAAGTTATTAAGTGTTAGAATACCCCAACGGACTATCGATAACCGGTAATCGTGTAGATTCATTCCTGCTATTCAGTTTTGGTAATCACACACCTTTGACCATTCCATTTCCGATGCTTAGAAGTCATGCCAGAAAACGTGGGCTGTGGATATCGGCAGATCCAAACACATCAACCGCCGACAACCCGTATTTATACATTTCACCCCCGCGCCCAGTTGAAATAAAACTGGAAACAAATGGTCATCGATAGTTTCACTGTTTCACTGGATTTGGAGCTGGCGCATTTGAGCAACCAACCAAACACTTAGATCTCCATCCATCCACCCACCCACCGACCCAGCCAACCACCAATCCATCGAACACACGCTCATCTGTCATTTGTAAGCATAGGTTGACAAAAATTATACGACGTAGTGACGCATATATCGTTTGCATGAGCTACTTGATTGAATTGTTTCACGAGTACGAGTCAGATCAATCTGGTCCCGTTCGGTGGGAGGGGTTGGCGGGGCGAGCGAGCGAGCGAAGTAGGCGTGATTGGACGGATATGTGATCGGAAATGTTGGTGGCCCAACTCGACTGGGTGTATCCACACCCTAATCCGCTTCGACTTGTGTTGTGCCCACGTTTAGCGACCCGACAATGTTTGTCTGTGCACACGCGCGTGAGTGCATGAGTGCGTGAGTCCATGTGCTTCGTTTTGGTCAAGAAAACACCATTTCCTAATTGATAGTTTGTTGCGTATCAGCTGTGACACACTCCACATCCACGTACACACATACATACGTACAGTGCCATATCTAATGACAGGATTCATACCGCGGCCTGTTCGATATCCGCGACGCTATCGCCTGATCAAATCCTCGGAGAAATCAACCGGTATGTAAACGTGCGGCGCTTCGTTGTGCTTGTGCTTGTCTTTAGTGTTTATCTCCATAGGTGCGTGTCCGCGTATGTGTGTGTGTGTGTGCGTAGGTAGCACTTCGTTAACCGGACTCGAGTGTGGACGCTTCGTCCTGGGCCGGAAAAACGCAAATAATCGAGCTTAGAATTCACCATCTCTTTTGCCCCCGGAATTCGGGTGCGCGGATGTGCGTACACGCAATCGGGCTAATAAACCGAAATATGAACTGGGGTGCTACGCGGTGCGACCAGAAGAAAGCGGATGGTGAAGCAGTAACTATAGCTCGGTTGGACGCCAATTTACAGTCGGGTCCGCGTTCGGTATGTCTGAAGGCGAATGACCGAAATTCACTCAACCAGTCAGGCATCCGTTTCCAGACATACATACTACTACTGTGGTGGTAGTTCAAGATGCACGGTCTGGTGCTGGGATGAAACCGGAAGCTGCCCCGAAGATGCACAGCACAGTCGCTACTAACGGATTCGGGTGGAAATGTCAAACGATGAACAGTGCTCGAGTTTGGACAGCTTGGCATAAAATGCATTGAGTTTAGGCATAGGTAAATGGAACTATTGCGTAGACCAGACGTGAATAGCTGAGTTGGGACCTGTTTTGAGAAGCTTGGGAAGCCACATACCCACCTAGAATGACGATCCCGTGAAGACCGTGGTAGATCTATGGAAAACTTGAAATCCCAGAAAATTTGCCGGTAAATTATTTCCAGCATTTTAGTCATTTAGTAAGCTATTGAATAATGGAACTATAATTGTAAATGCCTGAAGCGATATGCTGAACAGGGATCTGTTTACGTAGCAAATGGATCACGTGATTAATTAGAGACCAAATTACTCCCCTGACCCAGACAGAGTTCACACGGATTCAGGCGTGTGCAGCTTTCCAGTTCCTACAACCAATGACCGTACGCTTTCGTGTACCGGTTTTGGTTGCTGTCTTTTGCTGCCCATCTGGATGAACAGTAGGAGAAAAAAGATAAGTTGAAAGTAGAATCAAAGAATCAAAATAGAGAATTTCCGTGTAATAAGGTTGCAAAGAAGTTGAATAGATCTAGGAACGTCATTTTTTACAACACAACCATATTACTCACTGTCTCTAATCACCGGCAACGATCATCCCGAGGTCCCCAGTCAGAGAGCCTAACGGGACCTATGTGACCGAGTCTCCTGGTTCGGGTTTTCACACACTTCGGTTGACTCCCCTGGGTCTTTTCCCAACCACTACCTATCTCGGCAAACATCACTCGCCGTGACCACCTATTTGATGAAATGTGTAACACATGAAGTGTCAGCTCGCATACAGAAATCCTGATTGGTATTTGATGCCGCTGTGATATCGGGCTGTCCGTGAAGGGTCGAGTGTATGCGGCGTCCATTCGGTATGTTCTGCTGTACGGCTCAGAAACTTGGCCATTAGGAAAACAGGATAAAGATAGACTCTCAGTATTCGAACACCAGGGGAATCCGATACCATAGCGATTTATCATCCGGATACCCAGTTCGCAGTACTTGTTTAGAATAATAATGAAAACAATAAGCTGATAAATGCGCTAAAATGAGCAATTAGGACCGTTATCTTTCGTCATCTACTGATGGCGCCCAATTGGGGCATGAAGACAGAATTGCTAACAATCTGTTTTGAACAGAAAAACTGAACACGTTTCTGTAGTGTGTTCGTTCTAAGATCACTAAGATCACGTGCGTTTCGTGAACAAGAGATATCCCATGTTCAGTATACTGTCCGGATAGCTTCTTGAAGAAGATTTGCGTCGCAACAACTATTGGAAGCTGCACCGAGTCAAAGTGATTTCCGTTTACTAGCGGTGACGGTCAGTTGAATGTGTTCATTGTGGTAATGTTCTGTGTGATCTCGCCTCTTTTTAGTAAAAATTGTTGCAAAACGATGTTTATGTTTTTGGAGTGGTGAATCACATAAGCCCCCTCCCTAGGTTAGGAGTAGTATCGAACCGGATGAAAACAAAGCTGCCTACCATCAAAGTTAGGTGCCACTGATAAGGCTCGAAACAAAGCACACCGGT